CCCAGTTTCCTTCTACTCCGAGGTTGAAGCGAGTGCGAAATAGAAAATACAGTGTAATGTAATCGCAAAACACACTCCATAAAGACGGAGAAGGATGTTGCAAAACGCTTGTCCAAGAACGCGCACAGGGCAAGGTCACTGCGCCGGGATTTCTGTGCGATGAAGCCAAGTTCAGGCGGCGCACACTTATATAGAATGGCTTCCACAGCCACACGAGGGGTTCTCAAGGCTAAACGTTGTGCCCGATGTCAGATAGCTGTAGGTGTTGCGTCTCTCATCAAAGTCACTTTTAAGGTCAAACTATGGTTCGAGTGAGAGACAACGTCGCGTGACAATATTTCTGCCATTCGGCGTGACGACGTGGTCAACCTCTCTTCAATGAGTTAGCAATCAAAACTCTGACCCAAGAGGTCGTGGCACAGAATGGTGAGGACTGTATAATATGTACCAGACACGATCCAACAAATCCAAGCCGCAACCAAACAACCAGAAGTGAAGTCCAGTTCTGGAATTCGGTCGGGAACTGAGGCCCAAAAAACTCACGTGACAACCGAACATCCGGACAGTGACGCCTAATAAAATAAAAAAAACCACTAAACTCACACACACACAAAAAAAAAAACAAAAAAAAAAAAACACGAAGGACGCAACGAAGGGATGTGCGCATAAAGTGCGCTGACCTGACGAGTGAAGATCCGGCACTTGATTTTGGGACTGAAATACACATACTCTGGCCAAGGTATATTAAGTTTGGTTATACCTTGGCCTCTTTGAGTGTCCAGGGCCCTGCATTTTCAGACAAAAAACTAATTTGGTCCAAGGACTAAACTTTAAGATGACTACAAGAATCGCAAGGGCACGGTAAAAAGTAAATGTAGTGATATGCATCAACATATCCAAGGCGAGGTAGCAATGACAAATTATTATATTTTGGTGTATGCATGCAAAAAGAGTGAGAATATTAATCTGTTAAAAAACTCCGTACAGAGCCAAATAAATAAAGTGGTGAATACGAATGCCATAGGAAGAATATCTGGCCTTTGCTTAGCTTATCGTTAACGCGAGAGAAATATATGTGAGAGGGACCGGGCAGGTATAATCCCATTGGTTGACTGGCGTATACGTATAGAAATCGAAAGGCCTGGATAGACTGCTGAGCTTAAAATAATATTTGGCCCTCGCCCTCTAATAAAATATTATTTGGAGGGAGATGTGCATCCCTGCCCGGCGACCTGATGGAAAATGACACATGACCACAACGATGTTCAAATAGTAGACCCCTTGGAAGCGTGCACCAGGCACGAGCAGCGCTCAGTAATCTGATTCTTTGAATACAGTGGCTAAGCAGCGCCTGGATACACATCGCAGGGGGTTAAAGTACTATGGAGGCGCCTGAATGTAACTTCAATATTTATACGACGTATTGCAGATCAGAAGCTGAACGGCTCTTGCACGAAAACCGGCTTGTCACTATCAACCAGGGGCCCTAATCGGGATACTTTTGCGAAAAAGTCGGCGAGAAATCTGGCGGCCCTGATTGGACAACTGCGCACTTGACCTTGTCGCCGGCCAGTCTGAGCCGCCTGATTCCTCGCCGACTTTTTCGCAAAAGTATCCAGATTAGGGCCCCAGGTCGCTGAAGAATTGAACAATCTTCATGGCCTCGTGCACCACATCATTCACGATACTCCGCAGTGCCATAAAGTGTCCGCCGCAGTGAAGGCACCTGTCATGCATGCGACGTGCATGAGGCAGCGGATTCAGCGCTCGCCGTCGCCGACGGGTCATCGGGCTTTGTGATGGTTATCTTCTTGTTACCCGTGGTGTGCGCTGATTGGCGCGCCGAGAAAAGGCGAGGTGACGACGGAACGAAGAATGGACGAGACTGGCAGTTTTTGGGGCTGGAGCTGGTTCAAGCAACACTTGGGACCCGAATAAAGCGCTTTCCCCCCCAAGGGCTGGCTCCCTGCCTTCCCGGGTCCCACTGCGCCCAAACCACAAGCCGTGACTGCACTACAACAGCGTTAGCCCGGTATAAGGGAGTCCTGTGTGAATCTGTGTGAGACTCTGGTGCGATGCTATAAAAAGAGGGAGATGATTCTTTCTCAACGCATTGACACCGTGGACAAATGTTTAATGAAAGAGTAGAGGCACACTCCATCACCCCGAACAAAGTAGTTTCGGCTAGCTCCGACGCCGGGCAACCTTGCGGTCTTCTGGTACAACAGAGGACCAATAGTGGAACATTACGTGTCCAGGACGCTTAGTGTCAACAATGCACCGTATTATGACCTCGAAAGCAAACTTGAAGTCTGTGACCAGGACAAAGTGCCGAGGTTTGCTGACTTCTGGTATGTCGCTGAAGTACGACAATGCGCGCCCCCACACGGCACTTGTGACAGCGGAAAAGAAAAGCGACGGGTTACGCCTTGACTGCATTATGCGTCCGCCATACTCCCCAGACCAGTCATCAACCGGTTTTAATTCGTACAAAGCAGCTCTGGGCAGAATAAAACCCCGTATAAATTAGGATCTGAAAGTAGCAGTGGGCTTCGGAGTCGGCACCAAGGATTTTTATCGGCGACATTCACGGATTGTTAAGGCGTTGACATATATATCTTGAGCATGAACTGAACAATGTTGAAAGGTGACGTTTTGCTTTTAATCCTCGTTATATAATTAGGCAAGTAACAAATATAATGTCGGTTACTTTCTGACTCTGCATAGTATTGTGAAGCAGAGCCTGACAGTCACCTCTACACTCTAAGAAATGCCTGCGCCTCTCCTTACCCGCAAAACACTGAGGGAGCCGATCTCTGCGATCTACGTAATCAGCTCAGCGAATGATGAGGCGGAACATCCGTTTAGACCTCGAAATGAAGTCGGCGCTCTGGCATTGCGCAATGCAAAGCGCCATGCTTGCATCGCGCAGTGCCACAGCTCAGACTTTGTTTTGAGGTCTAAACAGAGGTTCCCTGAGCTGATTTCGTAGATCGCAATGATTGGGTCCTTGAGTGTTTAGCGGGTAAGTAGACGCGCAGGCATTTCTTGAAGTGTATGTTTTGCCGGCTCTGTTTGTGCATATATCGAATCTTACAGACGTAATAAAAAGAAAGACAGAAAATGTTTCGGTTCTGTTTGACACGAATGGTTCGAAACCTTTCATGCACAGGTCGTGGCTTATTATGCTTGTTCTTTTAATTATTTTTTGATTTCACTTATTTACTTTTAGGGCCCGAAGGCATTACAGCAAGGAGAATTTTGGTTATTCAAAAGTACAAGAATAGAATGCTAACAAGGCCAAAATACATTATTATCAATGAGCAATTAAGGCAAGAAGTATGTTAATAAAATATAAACAAAGCAAAAAAATCAATTAGACCCAAAAGAGTTTACACTCTAAAAAAAAAAAAAAAAAAGCCCGTGCGTCTAGTTTCCCACAGAACACTCGGAGAGCCAATCACCGCAGTTTACGGAGGCAGCTCAGCGAATGAAGATGCCGAAACATATGTTGAGACCAAACAAACACAGTCTGAGCTGTGACATTAAGCAATGCAAGCGTGACGTTTTGCACTGCTTAATGTCACAACTCAGACCGCGTTTTTTGGTCTCAACATATGTTTCGGCATCGTCATTCGCTGAGCTGCCTCCATGAACTGCGGTGATTGGCTTTCCGAGTGTTCTGTGGGAAAGTAGACCCACGGGAGTTTTTTAGAGTGTACAAACATCGCTCATAAACATTATTAAAGAAATGTTATTGCAGTTTTAAAATTAGCGGCGTCAGTTATTGTGACTATTGATGCGGGAAGGCGATTTGAATGAATGGATGTCAGGGGGAGATGAGCAGCATTGAAAAAAGGGGGGGCTACAATGGGGGTATGCATACTTTTAGTATCTGATCGATGCGCAATGATAGGTAAGATGGTTCTAGAAACAACGTTATACAAAGTGCCGAGTTATAGGAATAAATCTTGTGAAATAACAATAAACGATATATTTTTCTGCGAAAAGGGAGACTAAGCAGCGATAGATATGCTTTCAAAGAGGTTACGCTGGCGGAACGGTAATAGTATGAAATATTAAAACGAGAGGAACGATTTTGAACTGGCTCAATATTAAATGTCAGGGTGAATTTCAGGGTACCAGACAGAGGCTAGCTATTCAAGTTTAGTACAGATTAAAGTTTTATACAGAATCGGTCAAAAGAAAACAAGAACAAAAGTTAGCGAATTTTTTTTAGAGATCCTCGGAAGCGCTTGCCGTTGCTAGTAACGTATTCAACATGAACATTCAAGGAAAGCTAATTGACTAAATGAGCAGTGAGGTATTTATAGGAGGAAATAAAAAGGAAGTTGGAATGGTTAATGTAGTAGGAGGACAAGCGTTATTTTGACGGGACACTCTTATAGACCTACATTTAGGGATGATAAGTTCCAGAAACAATTTTGTGCACCTGTGGGTTACGTCATTAATGTCAGTTTAAAGAGCAGGGATGTCGGAATCGTTATAAATTTTTCTTTATAAATAGTACTACGTCAGCAGACAAGCTAATAGAGGAATAGGTACGCATACGTATTTTATTATTTGTATATAGTCCATAATGCCGGCACTGAAAAAGAAGCCGATGCTTCAAGGAAGGAATACCGACGAGCCTTCAATACCACAGGTTGAGGTTCGAAAGGGGTTACCGAATAGGGTTCAGGTCTATCAGAAAAAAATGAAGCAGTACTCTGACTCATGCAGAGCCGTGAAGGTTCTATCTTTTGCACCTGGAAATTTTGTAAAGATTTTCAAGTCAAAACGAAAAGGCAAAATGCGACATAAATATTCAACTCCGCGGTAGATCCGTGAAAGGATTGGTCCGCCTACATACAAGTTCGAAGCTGGAACAACGTGGAACGCTGAAAGGCTCATTCGAATAACGCTGCAGCCTTCGAAGAAGTATTCTTGGGCTCTAGAGGACGATATTTTCACCCTATCTCCCTCACCCCTTGCAGTAAATGTTCCTGGCTGCCCTCCTCGTGGAGTCCCTGAGGTTCCTGGTTCAGCGGTTCCAGGTGCTCACGTTCCTGGTGCTACTGGGTTCGGCTTCATGGCGCCAGATGTTCATGGTCGGGGTCTATCCCCGCTACGTGCTTCTCCGCCATGCCTGGCCGGAGCTATTCGTCACCTTCTTGGGCCTGCAACCCCGACTCCTGCTTCATCTCGTGGTCCAAGTTCTTCAGTATTTGGACCTGGGTACTGCATCTCTCTGCCAGACTCCAGTTCGAGCGACAGATCAGCAGGGCCCCCCTCTGTGGACTCCGAGGCTGGAGTTACGCCTCCAGTGCATGAGTCCCCAATTGACTCAGCCCGTGATTGTGTTTCGGGTGCTGGTCCTGAGCCCAAAGGTTCAGCTACGCCTAATACAATTGCCACGTCCTCCGCGGATGCTGTTTTTGGTGCGCCATCATGCTCATCGCCACCACACCTGACGGCATCATCAACTGTTTTTTATACGTCTCAGCAGCAAGATGATACGCTGCCCAGCGCTGTTCGTCGTTCGAGAGCATAGCAGCACGAAATATTCGTTTCTTTTTATTAGACAAGATCTTCAATGCTGCACTATAGTATGGGGACTCATGTGATGATGTTACGGTGCGGAAGGCCACATGAGCACCCATAAGTGACGCTACCTTTTCTTTAAAAACGCAGCAGTTACTTCCTACTGAACGCTCATCAAGGCATGGTACAGTGATCCGAAAAGAGGTCCAGTTTGTTATTTTTACCATCAAAGGCAGTCCTCGGATAATCATTATTTTTCTTTTCCTTTGACTTAGGAATATTTAGCAAAGAATTGCAGGAGGGAACTTAAGACTGCTTAGTGTAGGAATGCGAAAGCATTCCTACAGGCAGCCTGCCAAGCCTTCCCTTTTCACACGGAGCTCTAGAGGTGACTTCACGCTCCCCTACAGCACAGGCGCGGCAAACCCCGCCGGCTCCGCGGCTTATGTGACGACGCATCTGCAACACAGTGCTTTTTTTTGTGTTTTGTTTCTGAGGATGCGTCTGCTTTAACCTTGAGTGGCCCCGCCGTTTTCAATGACGATGCATCTGTGTTGCTGTGCTTTACTTTGTGATTTGTTTCTGAGGCGCTTCCGCTTTGACCTCGAGCGGCCTCGCCGGCTTCCGTGACGAAGCATCTGATGTGACATGTCGCAGCCAATGGGGTTTTAGGTGCCGTTTCGCTCAGGAAATGTGAAGATGAAAATTTAGGTTCCGTTTTTCACTGCTATGGACACCGCCGGCTTGGCTCCACGAAACAGTTAACACTTTCGAAATAACATGCAATAGAGAGTGGTCACTGAGACCAGGCCTATGCGTCAATAAAAGATAAGTTCGTGCGATGTGGTTAATAAAAGGTCTAACAAAGATGCGGTTGATGTATTAATACGTGTAGGTTGCGTTACTATTTGAGACGAATTGAAATCGAAACACGTATTAACAAATTCACTACACCCTGAAGAGAAATGACTAACGGAAGTACGCACATAAAACCAACCTATAAAAACATAGTTGAAATCAACTAGCAAAATCATTGGTGCTCTAGGAAAATGAACAATGACAGCGTTGATCGCGTCGTGAAGCTTTGAGATAAAAGTGGCACTTGCAGCAGGAGGATGGCCACACACCCCTAAAATATATGTTTTGTTTTTTAAGAGAAGACTAACCCATTTTAGCTCAAGTTCAGAGACATGTTGATGTGAAATGATCTCATATTATCTGCTCTGCAATCAACACACCGCAACCGTTCCTTTCCTCCCTGTCATGAATGTATAGATTATAATGTTTCTGACAGTATACAATTTAACTACTACGTATTTTACCTGACAGCCAGGTCTCGGTGATAATAACAATATCCGCACCGGAGGAGTCCACGGCGGTCGATAGATCATTACGGTTTATATTATTCAGGCATGGTACAACATTGACTCTAACGGTCTTCTCTGAATGCTATGAAGGAATTTAAGCCTGAATAAAAATTCCGGTGTTATTATCATTTAAAATATTGAGCTGAACCGCTGGTACGTGGTTCGAGGTTCCCGCGTTAAGATCCCTCGAGCTTGGTACTGTCCCATGAAAGTTTCATTTGCTAACAGAGTCTGTGCTAGGCGAAATATGCGTAACATTTTTCCTCTAATAAGTAGTTTTTCGAAGCGCAGCTTAACGAGTGTTCACACCTTGCCTTTTTGCGAATTCTCGCAATGTCTGTCGACGGAATGAAGTCTTCGCTAACCGAAAAAAATGCGTTTCCGATGTCTTGTAGGCTTCCGAAAGCACAGATATATTATCTTTAGAGGAAAAAAAGTTCACAATCGTTATGCGATTATTTGGTTGACTTGCCAAGGCTGTGTGCCTTTTCGATGGATGACTCAGAAAGGTGAATTCCTAATCTCTCAAAACACAGATCACCGAAAGCTTTTTCTTTATTCTTTGCTTCGTGATCAATTGTTTGGCGATCCTATAGACTAACTCCGCTGTCTGATTGGCTCTAAGAAGGTAATTAGATGCTGGAGACTGGCTCTGCCCTGTGTTTCTTAAATTGTCAGTGCCTATAGCGGCCCAGGCGGATGTTACTCACTGCCATAGAAATAAAATATTCGAAAAAAAAACATTATTTTAACAGTAACGCTCCCGGAATCGATGCTCGGAGTGTGTGAAACTTTTTGGAGTGCAGACCCGTTTCTGAACTTACGTGGTTCTTGATTTAACTGCAGAAAATGACCTCGAGCGCCATCGTGGCGAACGCATGAACGGGGATATGCGTGCGAGTCGAATTATTATTAAGTTTACTTGTTACAAAATAAAATTCTCTCAAAGTTTCAAAGTTACTGCCGATGTTTCGCCGAGGGGCCGTGAAATTTATAATTTTTTTTCACTTAAATTGTTACCGCCTTACACATAAACTGCTATTCCTAAATTGTTTTCTTACTCACGAACGTCAAGGATTTCCACGATCTTCGACTCTTGTACATACGCGAAGGATATGATTCTTTTATCTACTAGCTATACCATCTTACAGCTTAAAAAAAAAAGGAAAAAAACGGCGAAAAAACCTTAGGGCATGGCTTCCTTTAAACAACCTGTTATCGCTCCACAAACAATATAGTAATAGACGATAAGGAGCAAATTGCGAACCAACATGCACGGACAAGATAAGCCACACCCTGGAAGCTCTCGGGGACTAGCAGGAATTATAGAACAAAAATTGAGAAAAAAAAATGCACCGTTCATATTGCTTTTCCAACTAACCACGTGATTTTTGTTCCTTTTTTTTGCCGATAATATGACGCCATTGCTGATTATAGCCACTCGCAATGATCGAAACCGCAGACAATGCGGTGCTGCAAGAATGGTTAAAGATTTTTGTTTTGATGATTTTTGCGATTGAACGAGAGCCGTAAGTCTATTGATGTCCAGCGAGTCCCTTCGTTGTTATAGAGCTCGAATTGAGCACTCATTCGACGATCCTGTCCAACGCATGAGCCGCATTCGACTGTCATCACCCCGGGGAGGATTTGTCCGACTCCATCTGCAAGCCACGCCATGAAGGGACCGAAAGAAAGGAAGCACCCCTCTGCGGGGTTCAAAGGCGCGGTCACACTTTTGACGCATCGTGCAAAATGCGGTCTGCAGATATCTTCGAACCATACGCACTGTAGAAGCACAGAAATGACGTGAAAGAAACGCGCTCCAAGACACACGTGCCATGAACCAGCGTCAATGACCCGATTCACGTGAGGCACGGGCACAGAGCTAGCCGTCACACCGTTCCAACCACAAACGGCCCGATCTTTAATTATAGGTTCTTGTAAATATGTAAATATATTATTTTTGCTGTTTGCACTACTTCTAATTTTAATACAACCATCTACAATTGGTGACCTGGCTGCTTAGATTGAAATCAGTCCTCGCCCATCAAGACAAGTCTCCTTGTTTCCATTTGCTCATCAGCTGTTGCAATCTCGTAACTACCCCATCATACCAAGCAGCGATGTCCTCCACAGAAGAGAGTTAAGCAGCTGCCGAAGTTGCTGCAATCAATTTCAAACTACCTGAATTCTCGACATCAGAATCGGAACTTTGGTTCCTCACCATCGAGCCGTCGTTCCGGAAAAACAAAATAACATCCCAGCAGTCGAAATTCGACCATGTGGTCTCATCGCTGCCACAAGCAACGGCAGCTGTGGTTCGGGACATATTGCGTGCACCCCCTCAAGAGGCGCCGTGCGACACTCTCAAGTCTGAACTGATAAGGCGTACAACCGAGTCTGAACAACGCCGGCTTCAACAGCTTTTGACGTCAGAAGAACTTGGAGACCGGAAGCCAACAGAACTCCGTCGGCATATGAGACAACTCCTCGAGGAAGAAGCCACCACTTTGGATGCAGCATTCTCCGAGAATTATTTCTACAGAGACTTCCGAGTCAAGTACGCATGATTCTCGCCACCTCTGAAACAGACTCTATCGAGGCTTTAGCCCGAACGGCGGATCAAATAATGGACGTAGGCACTCTCAACGTGTGCCAAAATGCACAACCCAACACCCCACGCCAAGTATCACAGCGAGAAGACAGCCTAACGCAGGTAGTGGAGTCCAACAAAACACTCGCGTCGACAGTCAAACAACTTTCCGAAGAAATCACACAACTACGTCTGTCGACACATCACTCGCCGTCACGTCCGTTTTTTGCCAGCCCACCCCAACACCGTCGATCCAGGTCTGCAAACAAGGGCGGTGCTTCCTGGTACCATTTCATCTTCGGTACCAGCGCAAGAAAATGTGAGCCGCCCTTCATGTTCCGGGAAAAGGAGCAGGGCCGACAATGACGACAGCAGGCGTCGCGGGCCATGGAACAAGCCGTCTGGTTTTCGTGACCGAGCGCGTCACTAAACTTCAGTCCCTCGTCGATACTGGCGCTGAAGTAAGTGTAATACCACCAACAAAGGACGAACGACGGCACCGAACAAACACACCACCGTTACAAGCTGTCAACGGCTCTTCCATCAAGACTTACGGTCAACGGTTACTCACCCTCAACTTAGGTCTGCGGAGGACGTACCGCTGGATATTCTATGTGGCATATGTTCAACAACCCATTCTAGAAGCAGATTTTCTGCAACTTTGGCCTCCTCGTTGACCTCAGCCGCAACATACTCTTGGACAGAGGAACGCATCGTTACGTTCACGGTATTCTGTCCAAAACGAAGTCCCTCAACCTAACTATATCGACGCAGGTCTCAGGGGCTCCTTGGAAGTCGCTTCTAGACCAGTTTCTTCAACTACTCTGGCAATCCAACACACCACAGACAGTAAAGCACACTATCACACACCATATGGAAACAACTGGGCCAACAGTCTTCGCACGACCTCGACGCCTTGCCCCTGATCGGCTCAAAATCGCGCTACAGGAGTTCGAACATATGACCGTAT